GCGCGACGAAGCAAATAAAATATGCATATTTATGCGACGCTACCCCTAATTTGCTACCAGTCGTGGACCAGCCGGTGAGTGTGCCTGTAACCTGAGCTGGTTGGCCATCACAAATGGGGGCTGCAACGGCTGGAAGGGGAAAAGGTGGGATGCAATGGCACACCCATCTTCTTATATTTTAATACCAGTCAGACCGAAACGGCCTGCTACAATGGTAAGCAATGCAATGGAGGTGGGTCGTGTGCCAGAAGCGGAAATATGCCAGGATTACTGCAGGAGTTACCTCGAGGTTCGATAGGTCGTGGGCTACGTGACTATCCACCCATGATCGACTTCAATTGAACTAAAGGTGAGTACTTCGGTATTTCCGGCATTCCCGGCAGGATTATTTTCTTTGTATAATGCAAGAACAGTACAAGATAATATGATTGGTATTTGACTCTCGCACCAGAGCACGTGTCAACGTCGATCATAAATATTCTTGTCAACCAAACTACCCTTTTTACCAAAATGAAAAGATATTGCCAAAATCCCGTGAAAACAGGTAACGGGTCAGAAATTTTTTTTGCGCGCCCCTCCCCCATTAACTTTGAAATCGCTTCCGCACCCCTGCTTGACGGTCAATCCGAGATGTCTTGGAACCATGCATCCAGTCCATGGAACCATACATACGATCCATAGAACGATGCATTCGGCCCATAAAACCACGCATCCGGTCCATGGAACCATGCCTCCGAATGCCGACAGCTCAACATTTCCAGAAAACTGTATTTACAAATTGCACGCGTACAATGCCACCCATCAGCCTTGAACATGATATTGAATGATTGAAAAGCTACGTAAAAAACAGCGAGAGAACGACAGAGCCTCCACCGTCGACACATTGAGCCCCTCGTAACCAGCTCTGTGTCGTTCTGGGCGTCACCGAAAGTTTCTAGCGATGCTCCGAGTTCCACTGACGTCATCGCCTCTTGCCCCAGCCGTGCTGACGCCGCCGCCGTGCACTGCACCCCCGCCATCAGCTAGCCGCTGGTTGCGTGACGTCCGCCCGGTACAGCGGGGACGGGTCCTGTCCGGACAGCGTGCGTGAGAGCAGAGCAGAGCCGCGTTGGCACGCTTCATACAGTGGCACACTTGGATCGGGTAACGGGACGCGGCCGTTCGGATTCGTCATGGTATTTGCTTCGCTTGCACGATAGAGGATTTCACAGGCGTGAGAGTATTATCTGTGTGTGTGTGTGTGTGTGTGTGTGTGTGTGTGTGTGTGTGTGTGTGTGTGTGTGTGTGTGTGTGTGTGTGTGTGTGTGTGTGTGTGTGTGTGTGTGTGTGTGTGTGTGTGTGCGTGTGTGCGCGTGCGTGTGTGTGTGTGTGTGTGTGTGTGCGTGTGTGCGCGTGCGTGTGTGTGTGTGTGTGTGTGTGTGTGTGTGTGTGTGTGTGTGTGTGTGTGTGTGTGTGTGTGTGTGTGTGTGTGTGTGTGTGTGTATGCGTGTACGCTACGGCCATACACTCTGTGGGTGGTGCTCAGTCTCCTGGATGCATCCCGCGGCCGTTCCCTATTGTCACGCCTGTCACCCCACCACCTGGGGCCTGGAGTCTGTCCCGTGTCTCTGGGTCGCGCCCCGGCCGCGGCCCCGCAGCAGTCCGGCGGTCGAGCCCGGCGGCGAGGGGCGGGGCCGGCCGAACCCCGGCGGCGCGCCCCTGACCGTCAGTCATCGATTCTCGGCGCCAGCTCGCGCCAGCGGACCCAGTGCCAGCCGCTCTGCCCTCCGCCGGCGGCCGCAGCGGGCACCGGACTGCCGGTCGAGACGATCCGGAAGGGGGGAGGGGCAGAGCGCCGGCTCCGACCGCCTCAGGGGCTTCGGAGAGCCGGCCTCGGAAGGCCTCAAGTCACGTAGCGAATTGAGGAGCACACTCGGGGCTCCGAAACGGCACGGGTCCTGAGCAAATAGTCCAACGTCTCGAAAGCATCATTAACACCGAGCCCTCGCATGCGCGCACTCGCATGGCCATAGCGAGTTACCCCGACGTCGCCTACGATATGGCGATTTCAGAGCCTTTACTGGACACGGCAAGTGACAACAAGTGACATAACTAAGACCTGACACATCAGGCGCCCGGTAGAAACTTCATCCAAATGCCAAGTGAGGTCTGCGCGAAAGCGGGTCAACAGCATATCCGCACACGGACAGCCGCGCGTGCTATGGCGCTGGACGTCAAACCGGCGCATTGTGCGTTGGAGGACAGGTGGAGGCAGGCGCTGGGATCGGGGACGCTAGCCAGAGCCGGCGTCACTCCCAGGAACGGCCCGTGATTACGCCGCCGCCCACGTTCCGCCGCACATCGACCGGCTGACCCAGACACGGGGTAATAGAACCGCTCCCAGACGTCTCTTCGCACCCGCCGAAGCTGACCAAGGCCCAGGGTCGAGCGGTCGACCCCGCCCCTCCCCCCCCCCCCCCACCTCCATGCACACGGCTGTCGGCGAGGTCGCACAAGTAGCACTGAAAGGTCGTGTGATTTAAAGTTTTGGGATGGGTCATTTTTGTGCGATGCGTGAGCTGTGAGCTAAACGAATGAACAGCAATGTAATGAAGAGGCGCCAAAACCATCATTCCTTCCCGGTCTTGCTTTGTTCCCAGTGCGTGTAGGATTTCAATGCGTAAAATATATACTTGGCTTCCGCAAAGCAAGTGAGGATGCAACGGTTGCTATTTAACGAATCACTTCCATGCCTACCGAACGTAAGGGGATTAGAAATAATGTGGAAAGTACGCCCTGAGGAAGGCACGCTGTTACGATGATTCACTCGCGGAATTCGTGTTTTGCATGTTCCCCATACCTCATGAAGTATCAATGATGACAACGCGCGCAGCGTTGTCAGCAGTTCCTGGATTAAAGGGTGTCACTCTTTATGCTTTGGCTTCTAGCATGTCAGCCCGTAAAACTCTTGTGTGCATGCTTACGAGAAGAAAACACCTAATGGTGTATCATACACTGCAACCTTGAAAGGTTGGAGTTGCAACCGTGTTGAGAGGCCAACAAACGCAGGAACGACATGCCCATCTTCCCCTCCCCGATTTTCGATGGAAACATGAGCGATATTATGCACATTGCACGCATACAGGCACACATGCCCATTGAAAGCCAATGGGTTAGGTCTAACCCATGACCTTTCAAATTATACATACGTCAGCTCAACAACCATTGTTCCAACGACCCCACTATCCATAGCTCCTGGGTTCACGATCACAACTGTCCCATCGCTCTCAACCCTTTTAAAACAGCTGGTAGGTGACGCCGCGGTTTCAGCCGGGGTAAGTCATTGGACGGGCCGACCAGCGTCGGGCGGCGCTGGCCGGCCCTCCGGCATGCAGCCGCGCTTCCCGCCAGCGCTCGTAGCCGAGACCGTCCATTCAGACGATGTATTGGTGACCTCGGGCCTCATTTCGCGCACACTTTATCGGATGAGCGGCTGGCGGCCAGCCCCATTGGTCTCCGCCTATCCGAGGCCCCTCAGGGGAGGCCAGCCGCCGCCGTCAAAGACACGCCAGATGTCGGAGACACGCGCCCGGCCGTTCGGGCCGGACGGCATCAGGCTCGGTCGCCAGCAGACCGATACGGGATCTTCCGTATGCATACTGGGAGGCATTAGTCCAGCTGAGCGGAATTTGCGTCGGGAGGGTGCGACGTGTATACCTGGAAGTGCGGAGGCCGGAAACCCCGCATCGCGCCAAGTCATCACATGGTTTCGGAATAGAAATTCTTTGTAGACTGCGTGCCAAATCCAATGTTGTTGATTGCTTGGCGCCGGTATGTCGCCGTGCAAAAATAGTAGAAGCCATGCCAAAGTATTATAAGCATCATTATTTTCAAAAGCATTATTGTCTTCCATGAGGTAAAGTGCGATCGCCTCAGATCACCCTATGACAGGCCATGACTTTAACCTTGAGTGAATTCGAAATGGCGACGTCACAATATCAGCAGGACGTCATTGAGGCGTCGTGAGAACGTCGCAGAACGTTGTCAGGGCGTCATCAGAACATCACCATAGCGTGGAAGCTTCGTCAAACGAAGGTCAACGTTTCATCAGAATACTACGATAGGTTTACTGGGAAATTGTCAGATCGTTGTCATCGCGTCTCCAACTTTCGTGGATCCATCACCAAAACATTGGTATGCCCTCTCAACATCTGTAGTGTGGTGTGACTGTGGCTCCATTTAAAGTAATCATATAACCACTATTAATAAACATGATCATGTAACCCCTATGAAGTGATATAATCCTAGAACCACTATTAATTAATATAATTATATCATCACTATGCTTATTACTTAATCATAACGGCGCAGGGACACGACACAGTCATTGAGCTGTCATAGGATGTGGAGCAGTCAGCAGGTGAATGCCAGCTGTCATGTACTCATGCATGCAGCAGTGGTAGGTGACGGCGCTTGCCTCCACTGGCTCTGGGCGACGTTGGATGAGGGCGATCGGCGTGGTGACCGGCGAGGCGCGGGCCCGGCGGACTCGTGACGCCCGAGCACAGCCTCACCTGCGTCACCGGTGCCCGGCGGACTCGTGACGCCCGAGCACAGCCTCACCTGCGTCACCGGTGCCCGGCGGCCGCCCCGCACACTGACGCCGAGCCGGCCAGTCGCAGCCTCCCCGTCCGAACGCAGCCTCTTCTGCAGACAGCCCGCCGCCGCGCACGAGCGGCAGCCGACGCCATGCCGTGCCCAGCGGCAGCCGACGCCGTGCCGTGCCCACGGCGGCCGACGCCGTGCCGTGCCCAACGGCGGCCGACGCCGTGCCGCGCCCAACGGCGACCGACGCCGTGCCGTGCCCAATGGCAGGCCGGCCGTGCCGTGCCCAATGGCGGCCGACGACGTGCCGTGCCCAATGGCGGCCGACGCCGTGCCGTGCCCAGCGGCAGCCGGCCCGCGCCCAGGCGGTCGCCGCCGCTCCGTGCGGGATGTTACTGCCGGCCGGCCGCGGCAGGTCACAACGAGCTCTGGCCGTCGCTGGCAGCCATCAGGGGCGTGCGCGTGTCGGAGGACCGCAACCGGGAGACAGCGCCGCGGGCGTGCCGTCGGTCCACTGTGGCGTAGACGGCCGGCGCAGGCTGGCGCGGCGGCGGCGGCGGCTCCGACGGCAGCGACTCCTCCTGCGGCAGGAAGTTAGGCGAGGTCAGACGAAGTCAGATCAGGTCAGGTCAGGTCGAGTGAGATAAACGTGGGCAAGATTGCTCCGGCGTTCTAAAAGCTTTTGCTGGCGTCAGAAATGTTAACATGAGATTTAACGGGGCTGCTGGCGCCAGGCAGCCTCCGAGGCTAGATGAGAGCATGGCGTCGGAAAGGTTTACGTTGACGATAAGTCAGCTGGAGTCAAAGAGTATTAGTTCAGGTTAAATAGGCAGCTACGCCTACTTCATCATCAACGTTGCCGCCAATTCCAGAGATCGGTACCCAACGCCCACCGGATCGATCGGACGCTAGTTCCGGACGAAGCTGGGATGTGAGTGTCAAAATGGATACACTGCTAGTAGGAGCGCGTACACAACGCTTCCAGGGTCATACAAACCCCGGACCAGGCGGATGCACCCAACTCTCTCCGATCAAAGTGGGTTCGTAACTGCCACACTCAGCGAGATGGAGAACTAAGTCAAACTGTCGACGAATGGCACAGTTAAAAAATTAACATCGTGTTTCATCCCGAAACGCAAACATCACTGGCAGATATCAAAGACTCTGCATCTTGGTATGCAATGCAGCTGTAGCATAACGGCGCTGGGCGAGTTGGGGAAAAGGGTTGTTGAATAATGCACCTGCTGTGTGCCTTAGATTACCCTCAGTTCTCAGCCAATTCATATTACATCACATGCTTTCATACGACATCCGGCCAGGAATAATTACATCTGCGAAGGGTAAATGCTTTGATCAATAATATAACGTTCAGTGGCACAACAATGAATGGGCAGGAGATCGAGGACAGGTGGTCATGACCTGGTGCTAATCACGCAGGTGCTGCGGACAAAACACCGCGACTGATGTCTCCTTCCGAGAAAATGGCAACCTACAGCCACATTAACTTGGCTGAAATTGTAGTATATACGATCCTGAGTTCATATTCGCCGGAACTTATCATGGAAGGCGTACTACCGGAAGCATACAGACGACTTACATAAGTAGCAACACAACTTCTCTTTTTTACCTCGTTCCTTGGGGATTTGCGAGTGCATTTCTAGTTCGCGAAACGAGCGGTTTTTCTTCCGCGCTCACTCTAGCCGCCGGAGTAGGTTGTATCTTCTCGTTTGCATACTTTCCACTGACACAGCCGGGGAGTTTCGGAAGCTCTGAAATGGACTGGACGCCCGTGGGCCGCCGATAGGCTGAGATGGTGCGGAATAGAGCGGCAGCCCCAGAGCTTTACCTCGTGTTTGTGATGCAGACGACCCGGACACAGCAGCACTGATTCCTAGCGGAGGGTAGGGTAGCACCCACCCACAGCTCAAGGCTACTATGGTATCTCGAAGAAGAAAAATTTTAATATATGTATATGTAATATAATATAAACAACTCTGATACATTCACATGACACACACATCTATATGTATAGGTGTATATATATATATATATATATATATAATATATATAATATATACGTATATATTAGAGCCATTCGGATCTCTTGCGGCCAGTGCTCATGCGCTCTGGTGAGTTCTTACGACCCTTGTCGGCCTCTGTTAAGTCCTGAGGCGCAACGAGCATTGCAGTTGATGTGCTCTTACAGCCGAATGAGTAACTTGCTCTGGTGAGTTCTGGCGACCTTTGGCGCAATGACCATTGCAGATGACGCGCCCGTACAGTTCAATAAGTAGCTGGTTAGTTCTGGATAGCCCTCCGTGGGCACTGGCAAGCTCGGCATGATGCTTAAAGTGGGAGCTAATGAGCACAAAACGTCGGCATGGAGCGCAACGGAGCGATTTGGCTCGGCGTCCGCAGTGGAATTTCTGGTGATCCCCGGAATTCCCGGTGACCGCTGGTGAGACCTGGTGATCCCCGGCGGGTCCGAGTGACCCCAAAGCCAGCGAGGACCACTGCCCGCCGTCTCACAGCCCACCATCTCAGTGGCGTGATATGGTTGAGGGTCCGCAGGGAGCGTGTGGTCACTTCCGACGACCTTTGGGGACTGCTGAACCAATGAGGCTCCTGCTTACCGTGGCCCTGAGCGGCACGATGTGGTTGAGGGTCCGCAGGGAGCGTGTGGTGACTTTCGACGACCTTTGAGGACTGCTGAACCAGTGAAGCCTCTGTTTACCGTGGCTCTGAGCGGCACGATGTGGTTCGGCGTCCGCAGGGAACATGAGGTGACTCCTGAACCAGTGAGACCCCTGATTACCGTGGCCCTGAGCGGCACGATGTGGTTCGGCGTCCGCAGGGAGCATGTGGTGACTCCTGAACCAGCGAGGCCCCTGCTTACCGTGGCCCTGAGCGGCACGATGTGGTTCGGCGTCCGCAGGGAACATGTGGTGACTCCTGAACCAGTGAGACCCCTGATTACCGTGGCCCTGAGCGGCACGATGTGGTTCAGTGTCCGCAGGGAACATGTGGTGACTCCTAAACAAATGAGACCCCTGCTTACCGTGGCCCTGAGCGGCACGATGTGGTTCAGCGTCCGCAGCGGGATGTCACCGTTCCGGTTGGCGCAGAAGCCGGCCACGGCGGCCCGGTCCTCGGCAGAGGCTAGCGCTGGCGTGTTGCGCGGAATCTGGTATACCTCGTACGACGTCTCTGTCAAAAAACGGTTCGTTGACGATAGAAATGACCGAAAATTATACGAAGACTGTTCAGTATCAAAAAGTCACCGAATAGCCGCATTTTGTATAGGCAGCACCGTGCTCGAAATAAGTAAGGTGATTTGAGAGAACATGGCCATCATATTCTACCGGAACTCCACATATTCAATGATAGAGACGAACAAATTTGGACCAGTCTGCGTCAGCCTTAAGAATATGATTATTTCATTAGCTATCTAATAATAGAAATATGTTAATAAAAGTAAGCTACCAAGGCAATAACGAAAACTAATTAGCTTATTAACCCAACCGTAAATAATCACGCAAATGCCCGCAAAAGAATACGCTGTCAAACTGTAAATGCTGAAATGGAAACCAGATGAAAGCAATGGATCGTGTCTCCAAAGCGTGGGAACTTCAGGGAATGACAACTGTGGGCCTTACAATCTCTGCATGTAAAAGATACTGCCTACCCTGTGCCACATACCCGCCCCCGGCACCCCTGCGTTGCAGATACCGTCTTTGAATTGGCGACCTCTGATCCACAAGCCCATCACGGTCCGGTTTCAGTCAGTCTTAATTGCCAGCTGGCTTAATTAAAACACATTAATGGAGATAGACTAGCCAGCTGGTTCGCTGTAGGTGGCGTGCCTTTCTACATCAGTGCTCGTCTGAACATGATCCCAGCATTTGCAAGGATTTCGCCACCGTCATTCTAGATGCAATGTTTCCGTTTCCTGCTCGGTGAAGTTAATATTTCCCGCATTTTTGTGCCCGGCAACAGAGAACTTTTCAGGCGAGAATATAGACAAGAACAGGATCACCTCACCGTTTTCCGCCTCGAGCACTACGTCGGGGCCCTTGTCCTCATCTCCATCGGATGTCGATGCCAGCTCGGTGGCCAGCTGTTTGGCAGCCGGTGGCCGCTGTCGTTGACGCCGCCGGCAGGCCAGGCAGGCGAGCGTCGCGACCAGCGCAAGAAGCGCCAGCGAGCCCAGCACGCCGACCAGCACGGCCAGCAGCGGCGACACGGGCGTCGGCTCCGGCTGCATCTCGGCGATGGTGAAGTCTGGTGGCGGCGGACGGCGGCACCAGGTCAGGGAGATGCCCCTCGCTGACCGGCCCGCTCGCCGCCGGGCACTGCCCCGGCGCCTCGGGCTACGGTGGCTATCCGGGGGCTTTGGGCGGTTGGACCAGACGTTTTTGGTGGATTATTGCGGGCAAACGCCGAAGACTCGGCCATAATCAGGTATCGAACCGTGGAATGACGATTGATCGGAACGAAATACCTCAGCTAGATTAATACACGGCCACTGCGCTACATTCTGACAAAGGAATGGCCGAAGTATTGCTGTGAGCACGCACGGTGCATACGGAATCGATCGTCGTTGGCGGCTGTTTGGTCCGCCGCCGGAAAGGTGCCCCCAGTCGTGAGCAGGCCGCACGGCCCGGCAGGGGTACGCCTCACCTTGCGTGGTCTCCTGCTGCGGTTGGGGTGCGATCAGGGTGGAGCCGTCCAGCACCACGGCCGCGCTGCGGCCCTTGGCGTTCTGGGCGATGGCCTGCAGGCGGAACCGGCGTCCGGGAGCCAGGCCGTCCACCCACCACAGCGGCGAGTCCGAGGTGCGGGAGAAGACCAGCTGCCGACGTGCGCGAGGCGGGGTGAGCCCGTCGCCGACACACGAGGCAGCGGACACTCACGGCTGACGGGCGCACACCAAGGGAACTCCGCTGGGGCGAGGAGAAGGTGGAACCAATCGATGTCACCCGCACGATGGATTACCACATGACGACACGCGAGGGAGGCGTGACTCGGCTGTTGACGCGGGTCTGGCGCTGGCTGCTGACCTATTTAGCGACACGTCGGGAAGGGGTGAATCGAGTGCTGACACCAAGGGAGTGGTGCGGCAGGTGCTGGTGCTGGGAGGGATAGGCCTCCGATCGCACACACGTGAAGAGCGAACTAAACAGCGTCCAGACCTCTGCTTGCTCACGACATCGATAAAGGAGCAGGGTGAACCTATTGGCAACGCTCAGGGTAAGGTGAACCAACTGCTGTCGCACTGAGGGGCGAAACAACTGTCGACAACCAACGGATGGCGACACCAACTTCGTGATCCGCCGCTTAGAACCCCGAAGAGCTTAAGGCACATAAGCGAAAGTTATTTCGGCTCCGGTTAACATGCGCCGCGGGAGCTCCGCTGAACTGAGCTTCACTCCCAATCGCGGCCGATCTGTGCTGATACCAATAACAAATGACGCATTGGCACACTCAGCGAAGCTTGAGTGCCCACTCATCAAAGTTTGGCTAGGCTGGTCAGGAGCTGGCGGCGCTAGCGCAGGTGGCTGCACAGGCTGCACAGGCCATGCACTTGACGCCCTGCGTCCGATGCCGACGTCCCCCCCCCCCCCCCCCCCCCGGACGCCGGACAGCGGCTCACCCTGCTTCCGACGTCCGAGTACACGTTGAGCAGAAAAGTCTGCAGCACCCCGCCGTCGAACCCGGGCAGGCAGCGCGCCAGCAGGCCGCTGCTGGTCTGGTTGTGAATGCTGCAGTTGTACAGGGGGTCCGGCGGCCCTGCGGTGGCAGATGCCGGGTGGGCGGAGCATCAGAGGAGCACGCGGCTGCATGGCCTGAGCTGACCTGACGAACGCTGACATGACCGTGGTGCGCTGGGTGGTTCCGACCCGAGCATCGTCTGACGTGCGATTAGTCTCCTTCGACAGGAATCGTTCTGTAGCGATTCCGTGTTCGCTAGCAGAGATGGTAAAGCGGGAGTATGTTGCGACAGGAAGGTATGACAGTGGATGCAACAAAGGGTCGTTTCGTCGTGCCTTAAACACATATCATACGTCAAAACACGATCTGATGTCAATCATTAATCTAGGAAAAACAGGTTAAACACACAATGGCATGATCAAACTTATGAAAGCCAGCTCGAAACGTTTGCATCAAGAACTTCTTAAATCCCCGCCTAATTTAATACGTCTTTGTTCCATTGAACATGAAGAATTGCTGCTAGCCCAGTGCTATGGATTGGGGGAGTTCTTATGGTGCCACTAATAGACATTCCTTACACCAGGGGTACTTGCTAAACGATGTCATTAGGCAAGCACCGGTCATATTTGCAGAACTCGTTCTGTTCAAGTTTTGCTCATGGCTACTCGTGACCATGAACACCAGGGCCATGAGCTAGGACATATGGTTACTCATGACCATGATCACTTTGAAACGGTGAGTTTCGCCGATACAGCCATTTCGCAATTAACATCACGCTTAAAGTCAGTATCTGCTGACATATTGAAGTTCGATCAGTGTGATTGTAGGAACTCCGACGGGTTTACTACCCGGTGGGTGGTGAAAAACTTCTGGGCGCATCTTACCCACGGGCCGCAAGTATTGCTCGCTGAAGAAACTTTGAAAGCTTATAAAGCCGAAAAACAGCTTGCGGACTTTCTGGATTACATTAAGCTAAGTCTAGTATTTGATCATAGAGCACTGCGCATTTGGGACTTAAATGAAAAGGTTAACTCATGGCAAGGTATATGATGGGCCCTGAAGGTATCAGACATGGCAATAGACGCATTTACGCTTTCGCATCTGTCGTTTGGGGCGAATCTTTGGGAATTGGATGGAAGAGTACCGCCTCATCGGTGAGCTGTTGCAAATGCAGCATTCACTCCTGAGACGCAGGCTCAAACTGTACTGTCATACCACTCCGATTGGTCGATGCAGATGCGTTCCAGTGCTGGTGACCATTCTAAGCGAAACTGTATCGCAGCACCACTTCTGATTGGTTGATGGAAGCGCGTTCCGGCGCTGGTGACTATTCCCAGCAAATTGCATCGTAACACCAATTCTGATTGGTTGATGAATGTGTTCCGGTGCTGGTGACTATTCTTAGCAAAATACGAAATGGACAATTCAGCATAGTTTGGCGGCCCTGATTGGACGATACAAAACGTTCCACAAATAGGATTAACGGCTCTGATATAGTATTGTGCGTTCTTTGATGCACGACATGGTACAGTGGTGTCCGTTCGAGAAGGACAAAGTCGAGCCGTTGCATGTGTAAGACCTAAACGTCGCCCTTGTGGCCTGGCGTTGTACAACAAAATATCGTATTACTGTCGCGCTGCGAAATCTGAAATAAAAATATACAGCCTTTTAGCCTGTCGAAAACCAATGGCATTGCATGGTTTGGTTCCGAAGAACTCTGCAAAACTTGAGCCATAACGCCAGCTTCAAATGCATTTTGTACGGAAGCATGAAATACACCCAAAAGCACAAAAAACCGTTGGAAACGGAATTTGAAATGAGACACCCGCCCAACAAATTAAACTAGATTAAATGTCTGGCGCGCTAGAATGTCCATTGGCTCAGCTCACGGCCACCGCTCACAGGTTTGTTTACAGTCCGCTGCGAGGCCAGGCCAAAGAGAACGTCAATAACGGTGCCCATTTCCGTAATGTCAAGGTGCTAGAGTGAGTCCAGCGGTTGAAAGGGCGTATCTGACACTTATTGATGGATATTTTGGCATGGGAACGTGCTATCTTTAGTCGTCTTCGCTTTCCTTTTACCTTTGGAGTTTTCACTTATTTTAGTGCGGGAAGCCGGCTAGTACATACACGGTACAGTACAGCGCAGTGCTGTGCCATTCAGTGTCATGCAACTGGATTCCATTATTTCACAATAGCAAGTGGCAGGCAATGAGATCGAGAAATGCAGCTGTGGAAAATGCATCATGGAGCGTAGGCTGCGTTTCAAGCAGTGAGCCTTCTCGGCGACGGCGTCACAATTATTAGACATTTGGGCGCGCCTGAACGATGGGGTGGGGTATACATAATGAGGACGGCTTAATTTGGTGACCCTATGTTAAGCTTCTGAAAACTGCATCCGCATTCCATGTCCATTAAACCTGCAAGCATTAAATAATCAATCGAAAACAACTTGTCCCGGTAGTTGAGCGATGTGCTTCAAGTATGAAACTGACAGCAAAAATATCTCCACTGAGTAACACATAGCGTTTTCAGGCATGCTGCTGGAAGTTTAAATGCTAAACTTCGAGCATTCCTGCACCGAACAGCATTTCACTTCAAAATCCTCCGAATGCATGGAAAACGACCCTGGGACGGAAATCACGCTGCAGTTTTCCACTCGTGCCGGTCTTTCCCCCGCGCCGCCGGCTCCGCCCCACTCACCGGCGGCGATAATGTGGAAGACGCAGGGGCTGGCCATGCGTCCGATCTCGTTGGAGGCCCAGCAGAAGAGCGTGCCGTAGTCCATCTCGGAGCGCGGCCGATAGCCGAGCACACTGCGCTCGTCACTGCTGTTGAAGAGCGCGCCGTCCAGTGGCGTCGTCTCCGAGGTGTTGTTGAACGTCCAGCGGAAGCGGGAGTGCGCCGGGTTCGCCTCCACCGCGCAGACGACGCGCGCCTGCTCGCGCTTGGCCACGCCGTAGATTCGCTGCAGGCCCGGACGGCAGACGGGCGCAACTGCAAGGGATGCGAGGAATTCTGGAATCGTAGAATGCGCCGCGACCACTCCGGCCAAAAAACAACAAAATAACGGCGAAGAAAACGTATCAATGTGTATAATTGGATGCCATACAGACATTACGGAAATTCCTGTCTGATGGATCACTGGTGTTTGAGCATTCGTGTTTGAAACATTTCGATACAGCTTTTAAAGCGTTTCAGACAATATGAGACCGGACCAATGTCCCATACCCAGCGCTTGCCCGATGCGAAACGTTCCAACACGACGCGCAGCCCGCCGCTGACGAAATAAGAGAATGTAGCGGGTGGCGCCCTCGCAAGTGACAGGTGGAGAGGACCTCTTCCAGGACATCGTGATACATCAACATGGCGTACCCTAACATCGTAGGCATCGTTCGTATCGCAACCGAAGTGACCTTCGCTGAAATTGATCCCCATAGAGCGAACTAAAAAAGGACTTGCAACCCCATCTCAGTTGTTCGATTCATCTCGAAATCGCTTAGTCTTTTCGGTTCTCGCGTTCGCAGAGAGGCGTTGTGAGAGTAAGTGGGATGCTTGTGGGATGAGTTTGTTTACTGGGTTCGCGATACTTTGCTCATGTTAACGTTTAGACGTAAATATCTTTTTTGAGACCTTTAACCTTTACAAGTCATAGATAAAGTCATCGACATGTTTCAAGCCCCAGGGAGATGCCTGAAATCTGAATACACTCCCGTAATCTTATTTGCCGGGTGTCGAATTATCTTGAAGAATTAGGTTTTATCCGAAAGGCAACGTGCAAAGTCCACGATGCTGATGGGTCATTATTCCCAGAAGGCGTTACATAATTAATGACTGAGTTACCGCAAAGCTCATCAGTGTTGGGAAACACGTCAACTTTGGGTCTCATGAACCATAAATTCGTTTGCTTGACTCATTTAAAAACATGTCGCTGCCATTCCAATTCTCCAGACGTTGCCTTTTAGCTTCATGCAAGTGTTAGCATTGATGGAAGAGGCTTCACGTTTGGCTTCAGCCAGGCAGCTGCACTGTACTGATACGCTATGTTTAGAGGCCAGTACGAACAAAGTGAAACCATACACGACGCTGAGCTTAAGTCCCATCGGCTTTGCTAAAGCTTCCCAGGCCACCACTGTTCCTCACGGTCTTCCAAGCCCCACTGCATTATCTTTTGACTGAGAAAAGAGACGCCATTCTTTCTCATCTCTATTCCGGCGCGCGCCAGACTCGCGTATCATAGTTGGAATCAGTGCACTCGTCCCATAAGTTTGACCACTCCGACACTGGCGACTCGGGAGGGCGTCTGTGCCAGCGCTCCGGCTGTCCACGCTCTGCGGACGGGGCGACGCTGGAAGAGGGCGGGCCGGATGGGCTGCACGCCCCGGCCAGCCCGGCGGACACGCCCTCCGTGGACGAGGCGCCCAACCATGCTGCTAACCGGGGAATTGTTTATCGACGCCTGCCCGCGCTGGGACCATCAGCAACGCCAAACATTGGTCGTTGCGTCAGGATCTTCACCAACGAAGCCATGGGCCGTGCATTTATCCGCCGCCTGTTGCATATCCGGCGAGGCCAGCGGCTAACGAGCCGTGCTGCGAGCGTTAGCTGCTACACATGTACATAGAATCAGACACGAATCTTGTCTCTAGCACCAAATGGCATAACGTTGTCACCCCCGGCTGTCTGTCAGAGCCTTTCTTGATAATCATTAACGGTATCATTAGACCACCACCACATGTCGCTGCCTTAGGTAACTCCGTATGTGATCAGCTAAGACACCTGATGTACAGAAATACCTCGGAAGAAATCGCACTTCCAGTGAAAATCTAACATCGTCCAAAACAAGCGTTATCAAATCTGTATAGCTGGTAAGCTGTTATTCCGTCATTTTGACCAAACAACGATTCCGGTGTGGGGTTCTCGAATATTGCACATGCGCGTTAAGCTCGCTTATTAAATGATTCAACGCCACCGCATCAGCTAGACGTTCCATCATTCAAGCATCACTTGCAGTCTTCCCATCAAGGCCTAAATTGGACTTCCACCAGATCATGCAAAACGGCACGCGAGGCGTCTCCCACCGAAAACGTCTCAGCTGGTGCCGGGTCGGTGCGGCAGATAAGGTAGGCCGCACACATCCGCGCGATCACATATCCGGGCACACATCGACGACTCGATCACGCCCCTGCCGTGCGTCGATATCGCTATGGAAAACATGGAACGTCGACTGACTTTGATTTACGTGCGCCAGCGCCGAGTGTCCCGCCGGCCGAGCGCGGGAGGAGCACAGCGGGAGCACGGCAGGAGCACAGCAGGGCCGCTCCGAGTTCGGTTCGCCGAGCCGACTGCCGGGCTCTCGGCGCGCCGGCCGCCACCGGCCGGCCGCCCGGCAGCGGACGTCACCCGGGACGGCGCCCGGCGCTCGGGCGGCGCGCCGGCCGATGCCGCTCGCAGACAGGCTGCCATCGGCGCCAGGCCGCCCAGATGAAATCCCGCCGCCGTCAATCTCCATAAAAACGGGAATAAATCCGGCGTTCGGGAGCGACAAACAGGAGGCTCTGCCTCGCCCGCGCTGCCTGTGGAGGTGATGGACGAGTGCGGTTGAGGGTGCCGCCTGGAGACAGAGGTGTGCCTGCACGTGCCTCGAGCGGCGCCGACGGCTGGGAGCTCCAGCTCTCGGCACGGCTGGCACGTGCCAGGCACTGGAGTCAACAGCTTAACAACATCGCCCTCATCCCGGCGGCTAAGCCAGACGGCGGCACGTGCCCTTCCCCTCCCCGCCCTCACAGGTCCCCTCCAGCTGACAGGTCGGCCTCCGCCGCCCAGAGGGCTCCCACGAGGCACTTAAACGCGTCAACCTCGCCGACGCCAACGGAATTATTAACATTCAATTGCCGCCGCCGGGCCGCCGCCGCGCCGAAGTTGACGCGTCGGCGGGATGTCTCGGCGTCTGGAGCGCGACGGGGGGGCGTGGTCGGGCGGCGTCCGGCGCGTCCAACTCGCCTCGTCACGTCCCGGCCGCGCCGCCGTCGCCGCCGTCGCTTGTCGGGCCGGGCGCGACGGCGACGGCGCGTCGAGGACCGCGCGGCGACGGCGGCGCGGCCGGCGAACGCGACAGCGGTGGTGAGGCGACGCCGGCCGGACCGCGTGGGCCGGAGATTGAGGCTCGCTGGTCCGGTTCAGACACCCCCCCTCCCCCGAACGTGATGCAGGGGGAGGAGATTGCCCGCACGCTGGCGCCGAATGCAGGTCTGCTGGCGGAACGACTCCGATTCCGACCGGAGATTCCGCGCGGATGTGGGTGACGGGGTGATGCCGCAGGGCTGATGGAGGCTGTTCACAGGGCAACTGGCGGACAGCTGACTCTGTCATCGCAAGGCGTGGGGACAGACATGCTCACCTTATAACGGAGTAGCCTGTAAAATATATCTCTGCTGTAGAGTCTCAACAACTGAAAGCTCTACTGTTGTATCTCTGGCACGATAAAAGATATATCTCTAAAACACAACCGTTTCCGCCCGTTTATATAAGCCGGCTCACTTTTTCTAGGCAGTCATCTCTTTAGCCTTGTTCAGAGCAGGGCACATCGCACGCCAATCAGGCCACGACCGGCGTAATGAAGTCTGAAGCATAGTCGCATGCTGGAACTCTGTGCATTTAACGAGTCCGTTATCCGGTCGGACGTTGCGATGCATTGTAATTGGAGCTCGCAGGCATCGTGTGCAGGCAATTCCGCCTACGCAGACATCCCAGCATCGTATACTTAGCCGTCCGCCTTTCAATAAAACACCAGGGGTCTGCAAACGCACGCTCGGCGAAAAGAAATCGGGAACGGTGCGGCATTTTCCACGCGACCACCGTCAATTACCTGCGCCGCCCTGTTTTCCCTGCAGATTGACGTTTAGCTGTTCACGGGGCGAAATTGTCCCGTTTATTTGCAGAAAATCGTTTGGATACAAATTTGAAAAGGAACGACCGTTTGCATACTGGCGCTAAACAAACGTTTACATTACGGAGACCGTATCGCCTTAACGACTGTTTGAGGCTGAGACTTTGCCTCAGAGGGGAGATATAAAACGTGATTACCCTGAAATTGCGTGACGTGAGCTCACCAACTGTAATTGTCATGTAATACATAATATATATATATATATTTGATATTTGATATTTGATTAAAAATGACTACTGGCTCAGCATTGACGACCTTTTTAACCATCCTTCTATTTCATTGACCATCCTTCTATTTCCCGGGCTTTTGACTTGGCATAATCGCTTAGATCACAGATGGTTCGCATAAAATCACTCGTATGTGCGTTGTTCTTTACATTCTTATGTTCTGATCGTATATCATCGTCGGGGAAGTCTGAATAACGCAAGAAAAAGGCTTTGAGTTTTAAAGGATGCAAATTGTGCACTTCTATTGGAAAACATCTCTTGGTTCGAAGAATACAAGTGAATCACGGCTACGCAAGTTGTTCAGTGCGTTAACGGGGAGCATTACCCACGAAGATAAGACAATATTATTAGCCTTATTCTTCGGAAAAACCAGGAGAACAGAGATATAGTTAAGTTGATATTTCGGCAACATATTTTTATCGAAACAATATCAGAAGTCTATACTACGCCTTATATATGTAAACATATATATGTATGTATATATATATATATATATATATATATATATATATATATACATATATATATATATATATATACATATATATATATATATATATATATATATATATATATATATATATAGTGTGTGTGTGTGGGTGTTAGTGTGGTGTGTGTGTGTGTGTGTGGTGTGTGTGTGTGTGTGTGTGTGGTGTGTGTGTGTGTGTGTGTGTGGTGTGTGTGTGGTGTGTGTGTGTGTGGTGTGTGTGTGTGTGTGTGTGGTGTGTGTGTGTGTGTGTGTGTGTGTGTGTGTGTGGTGTGTGTGTGTGTGTGTGTGGTGTGTGTGTGTGTGTGTGTGTGTGTGTGTGTGGTGTGTGGTGTGTGTGTGTGCGTGTGTGTGAGAGAGGGAGAGAGAGAGAGAGAGAGAGAGAGAGAGAGAGAGAGAGAGAGAGAGAGAGAGAGAGAGAGGAGAGAGAGAGAGAGAGAGAGAGAGAGAGAGAGAGAGAGAGAGAGAGAGAGAGAGAGAGAGAGAGAGAGAGAGAGAGAGAGAGGAGAGAGAGAGAGAGAGAGAGAGAGAGAGAGAGAGAGAGAGAGAGAGAGAGAGAGAGAGAGAGAGAGAGAGAGAGAGAGAGAGGAGAGAGAGAGAGAGAGAGAGAGAGAGAGAAGAGAGAGAGAGAGAGAGAGAGGAGAGAGAGAGAGAGAGAGAGAGAGAGAGAGAGAGAGAGAGAGAGAGAGAGAGAGAGAGAGAGAGGAGAGAGAGAGAGAGAGAGAGAGAGAGAGAGAGAGAGAGAGAGAGAGAGAGAGAGAGAGAGAGAGAGAGAGAGAGAGAGAGAGAAGAAGGAGAGAGAGAGAGAGAGAGAGACGAAGGACGAGATGAGGAGAGAAGAGAGAGAGGAGAGAGAGAGAGGAGAGAGAGAGAGAGAGAGAGTGAGAGGAGAGAGAAGGAGAAGAGAGAGAGAGGAGAGAGAGAGAGAAGGAAGGAGACGAGAGAGGAGAGAGAAGAGAGAGAGAGAGAAGAGAGAGAGAGAGAGAGAGAGAGAGAGAGAGAGAGAGAGAGTTGGTTTGCGACTCCTCCTCCGGCCGGCGAGCTATTCGCGTTCACGACCGCAAATGTATCACCCTTTTAATTCAACCGCGGGACGTAACTCAGTCGCACATCGATATTTGTTTTGGTTTTGCGGATTCAGCTCGCAGTCTTACATTTTGAAGTTGCCAGCTTTCGGAACAGCTTAACATGTTGAGGCCAATATATCATCTTTTGATGAAACACGATCGGGCAACCCAATTCAATGCTGACATTCTTTTTAGTTTTCGGGCTTCCAGAAGTTTGTGTTTTAATGTTACCAGTCTCCGGCATAATTTCACATATTGTGGTAAGGAAAAGAAAAAAGAAAGAATAATTTAGAACTTAAGAAACTATGGAGATCAGGAAAACGAAACGAATGAACGCGATCGCAAGCCAACACTTCGTCTGAACAATGGTCGACCAGTTACAGTATAGTGGTAGACCACTAGCGGAACATTGGCAGAACTGTTATTAGCAGATGGTCAGAACTGAGAGAACGAAAACTCCCAGTCAATTGCCGTTGCTGCGAGCTGACAGGACAGTGCCCCCGTTCGTTTGTTTTTGTTCATGTTGTTTTGCGTGGCGGTCGACACAGCGGACAGTCAGGACAGGGAAACGGGCGGCTCCCGGTCATCTACACCGTTGATGAGATATGATGGGCCTGCGCTCGCATTTGTTTGCTTTAATTTGTCCAGGCCGGTCCTATGCAAGGGCATTTGATACACGTCATGCAATCTTCTTGGGCCTACGGCAGTACAAAGTCAGTATATGAATTAAGCGAAAGACAGCTTCTAGAGAACCGTTTAATGTGATGCAACAACGAAGCGTTAGACGAAGCCATGCATCTCAGAGATAGTTCCTTAGGCAACACAACAGCTGAATTGGCAATTTTCATTGCCCTGGGGTCAGGTATGAAGGTCAGATCAAGTTCAAAGCTAATGTATTTTTTACTCTAGAGCTTGCTGTGTCGGGTAGATTCTGGTGTACATTTTGAGTGTATTTCAAATTCATTTCCAGATTTATCCAAAGTATTCATTTTGATGGCAGGAATCACATTCTACATCTTTCGCGAACTCCTTAGAGGTCATCAACATTCGTTTTCGGAACATATTGAATAACCTTATCCTGGACACTTAATCAAATGTGAAAATAAAACCACCCTTGAAAGATTTTGGTAACCATGACCTTCTTAAGGTCAAAGACGATTACGGACCTTAAATGAACACCAGTGACCTTTTGCTTTTCACAGGTATCCAGGTGCACAGTGGTTGCATGAAAAGGTCTGGGGGCACTTAATACCAAATTGACCTGGCTTGACCGTATTTGACACGAATACCATGACCATGGAGCCTCAAATTTGGACAAAAGTGAGTTCACATACAGTTCAACACATCATGTGAGTTTGGTGCCTCTAGCTCTCTTAGTTCCTGAGATCTCAGAGGAGGGGAGCCAAATTGACCTACACCCAAGCGAGGGGTATTCAACCGGCCACCCGAGCGCGTGTTAATTGACGCTCACCAGAACAGCTTGGCTGGTCGTTTGAGTGTCCCAGTGACTGGCCACTACACCAAGATGCGCGAAGCAGGGTCAATGGCTTAACATTGGTAGAAACGAGTGAGATGAAATATTTCAAGTTTCAAAGGCAAGACCATGACAGCACTGACGCTGGTCTCGGATTCCAAAAAAACAAATATGTGTCGTCAATTTACTGCAAGGTTTCCTGTTCGCCACTGTTTGTGAAGAGCTCGTAATGGTTTGTGTTCGTTTGCAACTGCAGCCACTGGTCGGCCGACTGTTCGCGAACGCACCCTGTGCGCCAGCAGTCCGTTCATGTTCGTTTATTTATGTAAACTTATCAACGCCCTACTTTGGTCTCCAAGATTTCGTCAGCATATTGCCTCGGAACGGTTTACGTAGAGTCCTATCATGACAACGCGGCTGCCGCATTTTGGTACAGGCCCCATTTGTTGTCTGTACAACATTTTCCTGGCCCTGAATCCCACATTCATTACACTTTGTTACCTTTGCTACTCCATGAACCGTGGCATTACGTGCTGAATGGTCCAAACACTTTAGCGCAGACACTGCAATTTTCTGTACCATCAAATACTGTGACGTCGACGAAGCTCGGAATAGATAGCATACAGCCCGTGCCGTGACGAACGACCACTCCAGGCGGATTAGATGGGACGAAATATTGCCTGTTTTAGCTCTCTGCAACGCAATGCACATATACTGCCTGCCAAGGCAGTAGACATGGATCTTGACGAAGCATCACCCTGCAGCATGACGTCGGATTTGGACTCCAGATGCTGTAGAAGCGCATGGGGCCGCCGGACGGAAGGGTAAAGCAGTTGTCATGTTTGAGCACACGAGCAGATGAAAAGCGTTTGGGTGGATACGGTTGCCAAGCCGCGAAATAAGAGCAGCTGAAAACCCGCGGAGCACGGACAGCAGAGAAGCTGTCCGACAACTAACGAGGTGAAGGACAGGGACGACTGGTGAGTCAATTGTCACGGTAAGCATCTGAAATACGGCGCACTTGAAGCTCCTTGCCACAACCACTTTCCCGCTTCTCCCTACACGTGTACATGCTGAGTGAAGCATACGATAACTTCACTGCGCATCCCTGGGCCAGAATAAGTGTGCCATACTTTGGCCGCACATCCAACATTTGCCTTTGCGGTCCCACATTTTGTAAAAGATCCGCGCCTACACCTGGCCATGGTGTTCGCACTTGCCTAAGCGCATCCACACTTGACTACGCGCATTATATTTATGTACGCGCACGCACGCTTAACCATGCGTGTACTGATACTTCCCCATGCACGTACTCACACTTAACGTCCAGGAAGATGGGGTTGCTCTCGCCATCGCCCTCGACGTTGAAGCCGACGCACATGTAGACGCCTGAGTCGGACCGCTGCACGTCCTGCAGGGCCAGACTGAAGTTGCTGACGATGATGCCGGCGGCGGCGTTGTGCTCCAGCTGCCGGCTCTGGCGGCGAACAAAGCCCGTTAGAAATGGTTGGAATATACTTGTAGAGAGCACAAAGTGCACTGGCGGAAACCTGAGCTTTCCGGAATTCTAGCCACGCGCTTCGTTTGACAATCAGTTGATGACGTCATGTTTCAAGCTGCGTTGTATTACCTATTTTAATATGCTACACCCCCATTTGTTGCTGCAAGGACGTATCGCGCTCGATCAGGTTCGAATGTTTAGTGGCTGAGGACCTACAAAACGTTACATTACATTTGAAAATAATATCTGCATGATGCATTAGGTGAAATGGAACTTCAGACATTCTTGTGTATGACACCTTTCCGCAACTTTCATCAAATGGCTGCTGCTTTGTATTCGGCCCCAAAGTCACGTCTGAGTAAAACAGGTGAAATCTCCCTGTTCCAAGAACACTACATGCGATCGGAAGGTGGCTGAAAAATCTATTCGAGGCAAGTTAAACTTGCAAGGCAAACAAGTTTAGATTTTCACCTTTTTGTGCCCAAAAAACACCCATTCACATATGCTAAGCTGCCATGAGTTTGCAGCACAAAATGTGAGGGGCTCGCTGCATTCCCTTTTTCGCCATAGTTTCCCAGCACAGGCTCTAACCTCTCAACTTGTCAGCGCGTGGGAGACGGTGGTACCTCCTGACACATGGCTCCAACACCCGCTCACATTCCCCAGACGCATGTCACTGAAGCGTGCGGAGAATGACCCGTTGCGGCTGCTGAAGAATATATATATATATATATATATATATATATATTTATTTATTTATTTATTTATTTGTAATCGTGCACGCGTGTGTGGTGCGTTTTTTTACTAAACCTGGGGAAGAACGTCGACTTTCGGGTTGTTAGAGCCTAATGCATCGGCGTTAGCAACGATTCCGGACGGATGACGGACAGAGACGAGAATGGTTTGACTAAGCTGCGCCCTTTTCAAGAGGGACGCGCTATTTTGAATAAGGTTATTATGTTGGCTGGTATCATAAATCTGGACGAAAATGAAAGGTGATGAAATTAACAGCGTCAGCATACACAACGATGGCAAATACATCAAGCATAAGAAGTGGGCTTAAGATCACAAAGTAAAGGAAAAATATACAAATAAATTTACATTAAGCATTGATGAGCATTAAACTTTGGACTGGTGTAGTGCACGCTTGCTGTATATTACGGCCGCTTCCAGCGGGCCGTGAAGCAAGGGCTAGGAAATCAACTCAGATGGTGGATAAACTGTGCTATGTGGTAAAGCTAAACATCATGCCCAGTCGCCGGACTGTCAATTATCTGGTGTTAATTTATGCCTTCTCGAACCTTGCTCCAGTCCGGCTCCCACGACCGCTGTTCCGGATAATGGGTGCCTGAGATATCGGGTACAGCGGGGCCAATTATGAAAAATAAACGGCGCTTGATCTCTGTGTGTGTGATCTACATCACTAAAAAGAAAATCTCAAGTATTCATCAAAAGTGACGACAGGAGAACAAAACCGAGCACTTCAAAGCTATTTTTTATCCGACGGCCGTCAACTTTATCAACAGATTTCGACGCAACCGACGCAGATTGATAGATGGTGAGTTTGACATTGCTGCTATGGCATCATTTCGAAATTCACAACTAAGAGGCGTATCCTGAACCTGCAAAACGTAGGAACATAACGTTTAGACCCGAACGCCTAAAACGCTGTAACTTCCGGGTCTGTCTATTGTTTATGCCATCCTTAACTGTGTAGCTTGGCCATGGGTCTTTTTGCTGATCCGTGGTAGCTATCTTCATGAATATAATCTTTGGACAACACTTAACGGAGCTTTTAACAGGAGTAGAGCATACTGTGCGTTGTGCGCAGTAATTACTATGGTCGGAAAAGATGTACGCAAACGAGCTAGAATTATATTGGAGGCAGAATCTTATTGTGGAACTACCGAAACCGGTGTAAATTGAACGACAAATGGCCTAGCGGCTAATCACAAGACGGCACCTTGGGACAATGATGTCAGTGACGGTTTATTGGACAGTCTTCTGAATCACGCGCCGTGATCACTTCCTAGAGTAGGTAGAGCGTACTTCAAATTGCTTAGTTGTGTTTCTCGAAGGAGGTCAAAATGCCGATTCCCAAAGGCCGTTTGTTTCAAACGCAAAAATCACAAAACCTGGATTATTGGTAGCTGTTTACCTTACTTTCAGCCTAAAAATATAGAAAAAACGGCTCAATAATACATTAGGCTCCATTCGCCTCCTATATATATATCCCCCCATATATATATATATATATATATCCCCTCCCTCCCCCCAACTAAGGCCCAAATTTGCAGATACAGTATCAGGTGAAGAGGAATCACCTGGCAACATAAATGGACCCTGCAAGTAGGGACAGCCCGCTACAAATTTCTTTTTATACTAACTCAAATGTTGTTTTTGGGACATGCTCGGATTTTCAGGACATGCCCCATACTTTTTAGCTGCGAAGTCCAGTACTTTTCAAGTAGCTTAACATACACGACGTCGTGTTAACCCTCGTCCTAGGGTGGTGGTCTCATAGAGCCCCCTACGGTTCCTCCGCAACAGCATCTTAAAGGGTTTAAACACATTGTGGAAAGGCCGGTCACCCAAGCCTACATCACTTTTATACATGCTGTGAAAATTTTAGGTTCCTGAGCATGGCGGTTGATGATCTATAGCCCCCTCTCGACGTTCCGGCAGCGACATTTTGTTAAAATGACAGATAGCGCTTACATTTTGCAATCTAGACGCATGGTTGAATGGTCGTATAGAATGGTCCTCATATCAACCGCTTGAAGAACCTTTATCAGGCAGCTTTTCCCACCAACATGAACTGTTTAGGTCTTGACATGGTCGCATGTGTAAATGCAACAAGCACCTGTACCCTTTTGAGCTGGAATGACATAGCACGCCTCTGGGCTGGTCATATATAGCGTATCACACCTCTGGGAAATTACGCCTCCAGGCGGGTGCTACCTACACATCTCTAACACCCCATATCTAGTGTACCTCAACACTTTCACGTAGTGCAAACACCCCAAAACTAACGCTCGCTTCCTGAGATGCATTAAAAGAAAGCGCCGCTCAAGTTATACACTCCAGAAAATACCTTTGCTCTCGTCTCAATTACAATCAAAACACACACATCGGGTAAATTTCTTATCTGTGCTCAAGGTGTTGGAGGCTGCGAAACGCGTGCGTTTGATAGCTGTAAGAAATTACGTCGCTGCGCTGATTTTGAAAACACTCGGACACGTCATACTTGGATGAACACCTCCGTGAGGTGTCGACACGTCAAAAATTACATACAATTCAACCCTCTCCCCTCCCCCCCCCCCACGCGCCACCATGACGTCAGGGTAAAATATGTGTTCGCGCTAAGGAATGCAGTTGTATTTGCTTTCTTCACACGTATGAAACAAATCATGACGAGATCGTACGGGCAGGACGTTTGAAAGCAACATGTTACGTTTTGGCCAGTCCACCAAATTGTTGCGGGCAAACTTAGCAGCGTTGTCACGGTGACATGAACCGACAGAAGCATATGTATTGGTGTACATATACATATATATATATATATATATATATATATATATATATATATATATATATATATATATATATATATATATATAGATATAGATATAGATAAAACTGCGTCTACAACCCATAATTGTTGTGAGAAGGTGCGCAATGAAGGAAATTCCAATCTCTACCATCGCAGCTATTTTGATGGGGATCAAGTGGCATTCTTTTAAATCATCGTCATGGTGCTTAGTGTACATTAGACGCATGACGGGAAAGAGAGAGCACCATAGATTATTGCAATTATCGCAGACAACTTGAAGCGACCCAACTGAAATATAACCACGTGATCTAACCACTTCATATCAGTTAGATCACTTTTTCAGTGTTAGATGACCAGGGCGGTTGCATATGAGTTCGACATAATATACAGCATAAAACGAGAGCTGGCTTTCCAAGGGCTCTTTGTCACCGAAATACAAACATCTCCGCCTTACCATTTCTCAAAATAATGGGTGTTCAATCCAAAACAGCCTCTGAACCATTTTTTTTACCCGAACGCGATGCGCGTCGTTACCCTCTTATAGCGCTCCCGGGACTGAAGTAGTTATCTAAGGGCTCAAAAATCATGTTGCAAACGGGATTCGAACCCGGATCCTGACACTTTGGTCGAAGATGCGAACCGTTCGGCAAATGCACCTCTTTTGGACCACTTCAAACATAATACTCCAATCTTTAATATTTGCTTAAATCAGATTAAATGCGTCAACGGGACCAGACGAGACAGGACGGACCAGCCATGTTCTAGTCCTCTGCCATCCGGTCCCACCTGGTCCCTATTGCGTTCCATTCGGCTCCATTCCGTTCCGTTAAATCTCGTTTGGTCCCGTTCGGTCTTCTCCGATCTCATCCAGTCCCACCTGGTCGCATCAGGTCTTCATCGGTTTGGTCCCGTCTGGTCTCGTTTTGTTCTGTTCGATCCCTTTCAGATGACACATTATATTCCTTTCAGTGCCGTGTGGTCCCATCCGGTGCCGTCCAATGTCGTGTGATTCCGTCCGATCTCGTCTGATTCCGTCCGATTTCGTCTGATTCCGTCCGTGCCGTCTGATTCCATCCAGTCTTATCTGATTCCGTTCGATCTCGTCCTATTCCGCCCGCTCCCGTCTGATTCCGTCCGGTCTCGTCCGGTCCCATTCTGTCCCACCCGGTTCCTTTCGGTCATGCCCGGTGTCACGTGCTCGCGATCGGAGCCGGTCGATCCCGTCTGATTCCGTCCGGTCGCGCTTGGTCCCGTCTGATCTCGTTGGCTCGATCCGGTCCCAGCCCGTCCCATCTGGACACGTCCGAGCCCATTCGGTTCCGGCTGTTTCAGTCCGATACAGTCCAGTCTCATCTGTTCCCTCCCGGACCCGTCTGGTTCAGTCTTGTCTCGTCCGTCTCGTCCAGCATAGTCCAGTCCCACCCAGCTCCGCCTAGTCCCATGCAATACCATCCAGTCCCATCTGGTCCCATTACGTTTCCATCTAGTTTCATTCGTTTCCGTTCGATTTCGTTCGGTTTTGTTTGGCTTCGTTCAATTCCGTTCGATCTCGTTAGGTCTAGTTTAGTCCTGTTCGATCCTGTCCGATCCCGTTCGGTCCCGTCCGGTTCGGTCTGGACCCGCCTGGACTCGCCGTCACGGTCGGTATGTCCGTCAGTCCATTCCGACCCGACCTTTAGCAGCCCATCAGCAGTAAGTCATAGTTTATGTTTAAAAATTCAGTGATGCCACCAAGGCGTTGTTAAGATCTGGAATCATTCGCAAGTTGAAAAGATCTGGCTTGATTTGTGTCACTTTGCAGTCAGATGCTGCTTATTTGAATTTTGGATATGCACGTGGCAATCGATATCCCAGATACTGAATATTTAACGGATTTGTATTAAAGAGGTGGTCAAATTTGAAGCTCCTGCCATCACCTAAGCGTTTGGTATTTACTCCCCTATCACTCTCAGGGCAGCGTTGAGCCGCCACACAGCAGTTAGCGATGTGGCTGGACCCAGTTAGAGCGAATGGACCAACCAGTACGAACACAACAAGCGTGAAAATTCAAGTTAAAAGGTCCCATTCTTCACGGCCCCCATACAACTGGTCAAAAGAGACAAAAAAACCCACTTGCCAGCTTTAGCTTTCGGAGCTTCCCTTCTTTCCACCACCCTCCGCAGAAAGATGGCGGATACATGATTTCGACGCAGTTGAACCTACATTTACACTGTGTGATATACACTGATCATGAAATGGACAGGAAAGTGAGCCGTGGACCACGTCTCTACACATGCCAAATAAAATGACCTAAGTGTCCAAGACGCCCTGATCTCTGGTATTACACTAAAGAAACGGTGTGAAAACAGGGACTAAAAAATGTGATATAGCCATCAAATGCTATGTAACTACACTTGTCACTTACACATGCTATGAACGCTAATCTACCTAGATATGGCCATCTTGGGTGATAAATGCGCAACCGAATGCAGTATGGGTGCTCATTTTAAGGAATGGGTGTAAAAATGTTTGCGTACATTTCATAGAGGTGTTAAACGGTCGTTTGATGTCATATTTCTGAGTTGTCGTATGCCTCGCTCCATAAAGAACATATGTCCAAAAAGCGCTTATTTGATCCATTCGATCCGGTTTGACTTCTCAAATGACATATTTACCATCGTCCAGTCACATTTATTTGATGCCGTTTTATGAAAGGCAAACATGTTTTTACACTTCCACTTTTGAAATTAGAAGCACATGTCACTCTTTAGGGGTGAAATGTGCACTTTTTGGACATATGTTATTTTAGAGTGTTGTCTTACGCCCTTCCAACCATACCCAACGCAGAGCAACGTTGCGATTGATATTTTGCGAGGTGGGTTTCGGTCGTTGCCGGGTACTTGCGAGTGTCATGAGTACTGCGCCGAGATTGTTGGGCGTCATCGGTGTGCCGGTTGCGATTGCAGATATTCATCATTCAATGCTGACAAACCAATGGCGCGCGATAATTTAAATAGGAACCTAGCAGACACGTTGCGCCACAAATAGCGCAGGGTCAGCAAGGATAAAGTCCACACATAATCGGAACCAAACTTTCTCACACAGGTGCTCTCAGTCGCGGTTCTCAACGGGCGGGAGCCTGCCCAAGAAAATCGAAACGCACCTGCAAGGCCCCAAAGGTTCTTCTGAGCTACGTCTACCAGAGTTGCCGGTCGTTTATTGACGCCACGAGCCAGGCCGCACGCTTGGACCGCATTCCGTGCGGGCGTTATCGACCCGCCCCGCCTGGCCAGCGGTGCGGAACCGCGTCGGCCAGCCTGGTCGATTTTGCGGGCCGCCGTCGGCGCACATTTTTAAGAACACGTGTCCGCTGGAGAATTAATCCCATTAGGCGGTCGGCATAAATTGATGGGCGGCGCTCTCATCTGGCCGTGCCGGTGGGCTCTTGAGGGCTCCCAATCAAAACCGGGCCGACGTCATGCTGCCACCGCCATCCATCACGGAGAGGACTGGGGAGGCCCCATTGCACCTGACCGACCCCGCCTTTGGATCAGGGGGCGCGCAGATGGGAGAGGGCAGAGTGAGAGACTTGACGGTCAAAAATGCGTGCATAAAACGAGTGGTGACGCGCTAATAAGGCGACAAGGGAAAGCTTTGCTACATTGGGTCCAAGCAAATGTCACTATCATGCGACAGCTGTCGTGGCAATGAATGTTATGTGACGGGTCCTGGTCGTAATGCCAACTTGAGTCTTAGTGAGGCCCACGTGTAAATTGCCCCAACGTCGCGGTGGAAATACACCTGTTGCTCTAAACCGAATGCCTTCCATGATTGGAACTGCCCATGGACGCCATGTCAGATTAGTAACGGGCTAAATTATTTGTTTTTTAAGTTTCAATTGTTGGTACCAGCGTGGGTCAGATGTTCACGAATGTGGAGAGGATATTTTTAAGAACATACTATCCTGCCTTACAAATAAGATGGAGTCTTATGCCTTTCTTAATCATATTAAGCTCTATGCCAACTATTTTTGCAATGTGTAACGCAAAATAGTAGGCATGTGTGTAAAACTTTCCGAAACACTATAACTAAGTACAGTACAACTAAAATCCGTATTTGACCCGAGCTGGTAGAATGTCCTCTTAATGCCCACCCACCCCTCTCCCCTCCCGAACTGAATACGGAACTATATTCTCGAGATCTGGTGACAGATTTAATACGCGCGGTAAAACAGCTGCGCAAAAACTCCTTCCTAAGTGAATGAGTCTTGTCCTATACGAATTTATGCTTAATCTAACAATAAAAACAGTTAAAACATTGAGGCAAAAATCGCAATTCCAGCGGCAGAAGCAGGACAGGCATTATACAAATTAACGGTCTCTAAGCCTTCCTTACGTTGTGACGCCACTCCTTTTTGTAGACTGGGGGATTTGCTCGGATGCTGCACTCAAAGTAGACGTCATCACCCTCCTTAATCTTGTCCGGGTCCAGGAGCTTGGCCAGGGTTATCGTCACCCGAGGGAGATCTGAAAATAGATGCATGTTCCTTACCAGCAATCACCTTAAGTCAGCGCGCCAACAGGCACTCGGATCGTGCCAGCAGGCCCTCAGCCACGCCAGCAGACTCACGGCTGCGCCAGCGGGCACACGACACTCGCCAGCGGGCACACGGCACTCGCCGCGGGTACACTACACTCACCAGCGGGTACACTACACCAGCCAGCGGGCACACGACACTCATCAGCGGGCACACGACATTCTCCAGCGGGCACACGACATTCTCACGCGCCAGCAGGTCCACAGCACTCACCAGCGGGCACACGACATTCTCCAGCGGGCACACGACACTCGCCAGCGGGCACACAACACTCGCCAGCGGGTGCACGACACTCGCCAGCGGGCACACAACACTCGCCAGCAGACATACGGCACTCACCAGCGGGCACACGACATTCTCCAGCGGACACACGACACTCGCCAGCGGGCACACAACACTCGCCAGCGGGTGCACGACACTCGCCAGCGGGCACACAACACTCGCCAGCGGGTGCACGACACTCGCCAGCGGGCACACAACACTCGCCAGCGGGTGCACGACACTCGCCAGCGGACACACAACACTCGCCAGCAAGCACACGGCACTCGGCAGCAGACCCACACCATTCGCCAGCAGACTCACGGCTCGCACCAGCAGACCCATGACACTCGCCCACAGACCCATGACACCCACCACTCGGGATACACTATCCCGATGTTTCTTCCCGTTTCACATCATGCTTGCGTGTTGTAGAAAGTGGAACGGAAGTCACTCATCCATTTTATTTCGCTTTTGTATTTCACAAGCTTTCAGCGTGTAACGAACGATGCAAGAGCCCCTAGCAGCTAACAACGCATAAAAAGGGCTCTTCTGGCTTCCTTGAGAACCTCTTCAGCCACCAGTTCAGGGACGAAGCCTGAGTGTCTAAAGGCTGTCGGCAGTAATGAAGGCAATATCTGGACTGGCGCTATTTATGCCTTGCAGCATGCCAGTAATTTTTCTGCCGCGAAACAAGAGCAGAGTTATTGCCGTGCAATAGGAACGGTGTCAACTCAGGAAGCCATTATTCTGCTAATGAGGCAATCTGTTTGGGTCCGTGTCCACAGCTGATAAACCCTTGTCAGGAACACATTTTGAAAAGTGCCGCGATCTAGCACAGCGCTATCACACGTCGAGTTCTGATGAATCGCCATCGCTGAAATGCAACTACCTGCATGAAGTTCTGCATCCTCACTTCTCCCACGGCGCACCGCCGCACGGTCACGTAGACAATCACTGATGTGTCGCTACAAACAATGCCTCGCTACGAACAATGCCATCAGGTACACCCATGTCTGAGCAGATGGGAATGCCGTATGTGTAGGCGCACAGGTGCCGGGTCAACTTCCGCAGGAGAGAGCCAGCCCCTGAGTCCCTCCTACTGAAATCCATCCCGAGCCTTTCCTTTTATTGCTCGGGTTTCATGGCAGCGCCGATGCATTCATGCTATTGGCGGGCAGAAGGCGCGCGCCCCTGTACGGCGCGCGCAAAGCTGGGCCATCAGTGTCAAGGGACTCTCAATGCAGCTTCCAGCCACGAGCCTGCATGAAAGCTGCCTCCTGGCATACGGTAACATACGATATCGAACGACTGGCAGTAGCCGGCCCCATTATCGATAGATAGGCCTGAGTGCTCGTCCACCGGACTTAGTGCCCTAATGGGAAACGTCACACGGCAGGTGAACAACCGGATCGGAGAGGTAGGAAAACATGCAGGTAACCAGTTTTTGAAAGGCTGGCGTAAAGTGTTCATATACTTTCTTTAATTTTGCCTCTTGTCTCACGAGGACTGATTTGCACCGTGAGGAAGCCAGGGTAGTGTTGTATATAATTATGCTAACACCCTATTTCCCCCTTAACACCCGTCTATAGGAAAACCCAGTGTGCAGTGCGTCTGGCATGCATGCAGGATCTTGTTAGAGGAATAAAGTCCTGGGAAACCTAAGCAGATAAAATAGCGACCCGGTAACAACGTCGCCAGCTTCCCAATCCTCCGGAACACCGCTCCGTACACAAATCTCGCTGGGTCCTCGCCCAAGCTTCACATTCCAGCGCCCTACACCCGGCGGCCGGCCCTGGCACGAAGCCCGTGGCCGCTCTGCCCGCCGTAAACAGCAATCGGTACCGGTGAGCGCCAAGAGCGGCGCCCGGTGGACACTCACAGTGAACGACGAGCTCCGTCGAGTGCTCCAACGGCTGGGCGGCCATCTTGGGGTTCTGGCAGCGGCAGAGCAGCGTTCGCCGGTCGTCCTCCGGCGTCGGCGTCAGCGACAGCGTTGCCATCGTGACGTTGCCCTTGTGCGAGATTTTCTGCGGCAGGAGCAGGCCGAAGCGGGTGAGGAGCGCGACAGAGGCGTTCGTCGCAAATCATGGAAGCCAACGCTTGGGTCGACAGTCAGCTGCGATGTCTCGCACGCGTTAGTGTGTCAGACTGTTTGCAAATGGTACGAAAGGAAACTTTGGGCTTCGATGGACGATCATTGCGGAAACTTGCATTGGATCATTCGCTAGGGCGGCTGTGATTTCAACTATGAAGGAACTAATCTACCACATCGCTTGAAAGACGCGATTGCCCTTCTGTCTATTTTGTATTCCGCTCCACCGATCTACTCGAGACCGTGGGAGATCTGTGAGTTCAGAACTGTTTCTAATGGCTGCTGCCGAGTAGCTGTTTCCTGAGAATAACCTGAACGTTGCAGATGGCGATGCATTTGGTGATGAAGGCAGGTGTCATGTTAATAACTCCAACAATCGTGTCCGTTCAATACCGGGAATGTTTCACCTTTAAATGCTGTTTGAAATAAAATAACCATAAAATAGTCACGGAAATATATTTACACTTGATCATGATTCAGATCTGAGCTACTCTGCTTGCCGAGCTTGAAAGCAATGAGTTAAGCATAATATAATAGTCAGTGACGGCACACGCAGACGAGGAAGCCTCTGTAGGTCGCTTGGCGCCCCGTGTTGTGCAATGCTCCCCGGTCGGGGCCGCTTACTCATTCCGTCTGCAGCTTTCTGCAGTCGCATTTGAACTGTCAATTCAATCAATTGGCCGGTAGATGGCGATCGTTCTCAATCGCCCTAGAGGACGCCCATACCCCGCTGATTGGTTGCGAGGGATGACGATCATCCAGCGCGGCCGTTAAACTTCGGCGATTCTTTATGAACAAATGCAAAAACGTGCGGGATTGCGGTACCGCCGGTGGGCAGAATATCCAGATGGTGAGCGGTGGACAAACGTGATTGGCCGGAGACTTGGCCTTTGTACAGTGCAACACAATGTACTCATTGTGAGTTCTGCAAAGTGTGACATTTCTACAAGTAGCAGGACCGCAGCCAGCGTATCCAGTTTAATCGTATTTCGACCTTCTTTGATAAAAAATGAATTCCAAGATGAGCATCGGCCCATGACCTTCACATGCTCTCTCTCCCTCTCTCCCTCTCTCTCTCTCTCTCTCTCTCTCTCTCTCTCTCTCTCTCTCTCTCATCCTTGCGGACTCCTCTCTCTCTCTCTCACTCTCTCCCTCTATCTCAATATTGCCAAACATTGATAAAAGCACACCTTTCTGGTCTTTGGGAAAAATGTGGACAAGCTTTCTCAGTGGGAATCTTGTTTAAGATCACACTCTGATGTCAAAAAGCGATATCCAAAGAAATCTTGAATACATTTTGGACTTCGCACCACTCACGTACGGAGCTCCTCTACCCTGTTCTAAATCGGCCTTGTTTCTGACCATCTTCAGAGACGACACATTCCATTTGAGCACAACGTGTAACAATATGTGGTAATGTGAATGAAGGAAGTGCAGTACATAAGCCGTCAGCATCATTCTTAAGACAAGAATGAGGTCAGAAGAGAAAGAACGGAAATACCCAGTTTATAGGAATGAAAAGAGGTGCACCAAACCGTCTCTTACAGTTCTAAGATATATTTTCAGGAACCCCTCGTAAAAAGATGTTCTTGATTCATAAAGAGCATTGTACCAAAACCCACGTCACGACTGTTTGGCAGTCACGCCTTACTTCTGAGATGTTTTGTGTAGAGAGCTATTCATTTTCACGGAATTACTGAGATGAGGTGTCAGTATCACGACTGAAGTCATTGTTAGGACTATCGCTCTGTCAGCTGTGTTGATATGCACCAAGCGTTTCGGTCAGTCCACTCGGTCGTCCATATTCCGCTCCGTTTCGGACATATTGTGTATTCGCATTCAGTTCTGTTTCGAATGTATCATATATCCGCATTCAGTTCCGCATTCAGTTCCTTTATAATGTAAATCATCATTTAGTTCTGGCGGTATTCAAGTGTTTTTGAGTCTTAAGAACGGCTGGGTGGTGTCAGGCTTTCAGCCATGTATGCACCAAATCCGAATCCTCTTGCTCGGCATTTCTGGGATTCGAACAGCGGTCATCTGGTCGCGAGACCAGTGCTCCAATAAATGAGCTAACCGGAAAGTACACGGTGAATCCATTCAGATCAAGCGCACTTTAAGTGAATGCTGATCGAGATTTGAATCAAGAATGTTGTTGGTGTTGCGAAGAAAAATAAACAGGGGAAACGTATTAATTTTGTGCCTTGGAATGCAAAAGATGGTAACGCATTCATTCCAAACCACCGCGTAGCTCAATTCCATTAGAAGGCTGAATACCCAACGCAATCCTGCCAGCTCTCTCCACAAACGTTTCTTCAGCTGCATTTCTTTCTTTGTCTGGTCGCAGCTCGTTTGTCATTGTGTTTGGTGGCCGTTTTTATCATTTGGGGCTTCGTCTCGCTGGCCTGTTGTTCGTGCGCGAGGGCGCGGCTATAATTTCGGACACGGCGTGGTTTGGCGCCCCCTCCCCCCGCACTGTCACAGAATATCAAACGGCCATAGCGAGACGGAGTGTGCAGTGTGCAGGGTGTAGAATTCGTTCACAGCATCGGCAGTGTAGCTTGATGTGTGCGTGTGTTTGCGTGCGGGTGTGGGTGTGTGTGTTTCTCTCT